TTATGTCGTTACTGGATGGGAAAGATCTGTGCATGATTCAAGAGTTTTAAATTCAATTATTTATGATCCTAATTCTAGATTCCCACATCCTCCACCAGGTATAAGTATTTTCTTGACGTATTATAGCGTATTTGCTCCACTATTGAGGCCCTGTAATTCAAATAACATGTATGATTTTATTACAGGGAAATACTATTTGGTTGATGCGGGTTATCCAAATAGAGAGGGGTTCCTCGCCCTTCATAGGCGAGTGGCTTACCATATTTCTAATCATAGCCATAACCGAAGCAGGCCACAAGAGTTGTTTAACTATAGACATGCTTCACTCTGCAATGCTGTCAAGAGAACCTTTGGTGTTTTGAAAAGACGGTTCCATGTTCTGAATGGAATGAACAATTACCCGTTGGACAAACAAGGGAAAATTGTTTTGGCATATTGTGTACTTCATAATTTTATTAGAATGTACAATATGGAGGACCCTATCTTCGAAGAGTATACTAAAAATATGGGTAATGAACAAGTATATTGTGATCACCAAAACGAGGCAGAAGATGGCCGAAATGGAGAAGGACCGAGTCAACCGCAGTAAGGTATTATAGACAATATGACGACTGTACGAGATAACATAACGAATACACTGTGGGCAGCACAGTGGATCATGTCGTAGTTGTTAATGGAGTATACGTGTAAGAACGATTGTAAGGGTTGATAGTTAGTACTTTTGTCATATATGTATTAATATGATGTTTTTAAACAGTTGGATTAGTACTTGAAATTAATGTGGGTTTACATTTTTTAATATTTATTGGTTACAAAATTACCAATAAAATGTTTAATATTATTAAAATGTAAATTGATAAGTTTTAAGGTTATAATAATACATTATTTTAACAAAATGCACCAAAATATTATATTAATAATCATTTATAAAAAAATATATCAATCAAATATTCAACACAAATATCAAGGTCAAAATACTCTGCCAAACACATATTCTTCAAATCTTGTTCTTATAATAATAACCCTACTCAACTATCCAATATTATTTCCAAAATCCTATCCAAAATAATAAAACAAACAAAGCATAAACTATCGAGTCCAATAAGTTTTAGTTAAACTATCAAATCATACTGTTAAATGTTACACTATTGAATCTAACATAGTTTAGCATTGTATATTAATAATATATCTTCTTTTTTTTTTATGACCGGAGTGTCCAGGTGAGCTTACCCGTATCTCAACTCAGGAACGTAGCTAGGAACTCATTCTAGGGGGTCAAGACATTAATTAAACTTAACAATACAATTGTAAATAAACTTATAATAAATAATATATTGGGTATAAGTTATACAAAAATATAAGTATTTATTTGTAATGTTTTTAATAATTAATATATTTATGATTGTGTTTGACTATTTGGAATAAACATATAATACTTTAACGAGTGTAAAACAAAACCAATAAAATTTACTAATGAATAAGTTATTAAGCCAACACAAACAACTACACCTCCAAATTAAACTACAATAAAAAATTTATTAATAAAATGTTCAAAGATTTATCTAGCTTTTATAGTAAAATATTATAACTTTTGTAATAATTTCAATTTTATGTTTTGACCCCTTAAAATAATGCATCAAAATACAGATTTTTTATATTTATCTTTTTTTTTTTTTTTTCTCTTTTTCATATTTTTATATGACCAATATGTGGGTAGGCTAGATGATTATAACGAATTGGGGATTTTGTTGATAGGCATGCAGTCTCAGTTTTATTCTTTATCTAAGCATCCACAATTTAAGTGAGGGGTCGTGGCGGTAGATTGCAGGCTAATATATATATTCTAGATGATTACAACGAATTGGGGATATGGTGGAATACATACAGTCTCAAGTTCTATTATTCATCTGAGCATCCACAATTTAAGTGAGAGGTCGTAGCGGTAGTTGTAGGCTAATATAATAATTATAATATATATAATATATATTAATTATAATTATATATATATATATATATAATAATAAATCTATATATATATATATATTTATATATTTATATATATATAGGGCAATACTACACTTACAATTCAATCTCACAAACTTTCTCTAACAACCTCGACTTGGTAGTTTGCAATTGGTCAACTCGTATTGGGTCCCACTTACCCAATTGCGAGCTGTCATGCCAAGGTTCTAAGAAAAAATTTGTATGATTGGGTTGTAAGCCAATCTTTATTTATTTTTTTTTTTTTAAGTAAGAAGTAGTGAAACACAAAACAATTGACAGTAGTTTATTTGACAAACAAATTTTATAAATGATATTTATTTTATAAAATATATGAAAAATATACAAACTTTCTTTATTTTATTCTTTGTACAATTAAATAATAGATATAAAATTCATTATATAATTTATTAAATGTATTTGTGAGATTTTTTTGTAAAAACTAAGAATTTAATTTGATATATTTGATGAATTTAAAAATTAATTTTACACACACACACACACATATATATATATAGTTTTTTTAAAGTCTAGAGGGTCAACTGACCCTCCTTGATCCCCCTTCTTCCGTCCTTGCCTCAAGTAATGTCCCGGGACCCTAGAACTACTAGATGAGTAAGAGTTCTAGTGACTATTCCTATTAGCAACCGAGGAGAGACTTGAACTCCCCTATTAGCAAATGAGGAAGGACTCGAACTCATGATTCCTAGTTACCAAAAATAAATAAAAATACATCCAAGAGTCCCTATAGAACCACTCAGCTATCCAAAGGTAGTTAATAGTATATCATTTGTTATTTCATTAAAGATATAGTTGGTAAGTCATTGAATTTTATTACTAGATTTATACTTTAAATAAAACCTGCACGTTTTGAAATTTTTGTATTATTAATTTAACTATATGGGGCCGTTTGGATTGGGGGTATATAAAATAACGGGGATAATATTCGTTTATTTTGCAAGATTCCAGTGTTTGGTTTATAAGTAATAAAATATTACGGTAACCTTTTATTGCAAATAGTAGTTACCGTTGGTAATATGGGGGGTAATTTTATTACCTTGTTAGGGGGTGTTATTAAAATATTACTGGGGTAATATGATTTTTCTACCCATTTTGCCCTTAATTAAAAACCATTTCGGATACAGTTGCCCAAATAACAATTACCCAGCCCCCCAACATTTGAGAAATTAGCTAAAACACCCCAGCCACAAAAATTTTTAAAAGTTAACAAAATACCCCCATCCACCCAAGACCACTGCCGGTTGTAACTCACCACCATCGCCCACCGACATCAGTCGTCGTAATGGTACACGAACGGTGGGATTTGGCCAGTAAGGCCTTTTCCGATGGAAACGGCCAGATCTAGCGCTTTCATGGCCGTTTCACTACCAAAGATGTGGCCGTGAAAAGGCTAGATCTTTGGTTGTGAAATGGCACGACTAAAGATTTGGCCTTTTCACGGCCAGATTTATGGTCGTCTCCGACCACATCTTTGGCCGTGAAATGGCCATAGATCTCATCGTTTTTCGGCCATGGACTTGTGATCCATTGCTATTTCTGGCTTTTTCGGTGCATGGCTAGCTATATATGGCCATTCGTGCGCCATTATGACGACTACTGGTGGTGATGGTTGGTTACCAGCAGTGACTTGGGGTGGATGGGGATGATTTTACTACAAATTAAAGTTTTATATGACTGGGGTGTTTTAACAGAATTTCAAATGTAGGGGGTTAAAAAGAATGATTCAAAAAATAATAATAAAAAATATTATTATATTAATATTTAAAAAGGAGAGTAATTTAGTAATCTATATAATATACCCATTCATTTATCCTTCAACCAAACATGTTATTCACCAATTTATTCGAATTAATCAGATATATTTTCTAAACATTTCTAATAATTTTCAAAATAATATTTCTTTATGTTAATATAATATATCAATTTAATAAAATATTATATGATCTAAACACCACTTAAATGTTATTATTTAGAAAATATGGATATCTAGTGTGGTATGAATTAAAATTTTATTGTCAATTTGTCCTTTTCGTAAAAATCTTATGAAATGATAAATATTGAGTCAAGTCTCATTCACTTTATACAAGCGTAGCTTTTTTCTTCTAATAATAATAAAGATGGGAACACGAACAATAATACTCAGTTATGCGAAAAAACAACGGCCTTGTCATGTCTATTCCATTGAACAGACAAATTTTGTGCTAGATTCCTGCACATTGTATGGTACTTCCCAAGTTACTATGAATCATACATATTTACCAAAAATAAAAGAGCCTTTTTAGTAATTTTCTTGGTGGAAGCGACAAATAGGAACTACCAAAAATAATGTCACATAATATAAATTAATTTAAAGTTATAAAGTAGATAAATAATACTAATAATGCGATAATAAAAAAAAAAAAAAAAGATAATGAATTACTAATTTATGAAAGTGACATGTTTAAAATATGTCACGTCTTGATGTAATTCTATAGCAACGATCAACTCTTTTAAACTGTTTTAAGTTTTAATTCTAGAGGCATCTATTATGTGTTTGCTTTATAGATTTACCATCCTTCAATTAAACTAAAAAATAATGTTAGTTAATTATCAGAGGAAAAATATTTTTTCGTTTTGAATCAATCCAGCTGTGCTTTCAACATTGACAATCTGTTCACTGGGACCCAGCACCTAATTAATCCGAGCCACGTGTTTAGTTGTGCGATTACAGTACATAAGTACAATAATCCCTCTCCGCAAACAAAATGGTCAACCCAACTCACGTTATAAAGAAGTCAAAGTACACAAATCAGACGGCTAAAATCCTCACTCCATTTATCATCCCGATCAATTTCATCGCGTTCACAGTCACACTGCAGGCGCCAAAGCCTCACCCTTTTGCAAAATAATTCTGTCTCCGCCTCCCTTCCAAAAAATAAAAATAAATAAAATAAAAGAAACTAAACAATTAATTAAATAAAACCATTTTATTTATTTACATATATATCCGTTTCTCTCTCTGTACAGTTCGATTTTCAAACGGAGAGAAGCATGGAGCTCCAAAACACAGTGAAAGAAGCCCTAAACGCACTGTACCATCATCCAGATGATACGGTGCGTATGCAAGCCGATCGATGGTTGCAAGATTTTCAAGGCACCATCGATGCTTGGCAGGTGACTCTATAATCTCTCATTTCTTTTTTATGATTTATAGTTTAAAGTATCTGAAGCTTATTGAACTTGAGTTCGATTATTTAGTGTTTATATTTGAATTATATGTTGTATGGTTTTTAAAAATTTTGTTATGTGTTTTTGTTTTGTTTAATTTCGTTTTGGCGAGATTGGATCAATTAGCCGTGTTTAGTAATCAAAAGGCTAAGTTTGAATTCTTCTTTAGTTAGGGTTTTGTTTGAATTTTGAGTGCCCTTGGTTAACTGAAGCAGTGTCTTTACTTTTTAATGTTATGCTATTACATTTTGCTTCAGTCTACTTTCGCGCTGCTGCTGTTAATTTTATATTATACCTTGCTGTCTGAGTTTAGTTATTCTTTTTCCTCTATTAAAATGAAAATGTGTTTATTGTTCTCTTTCATATTATTTTGACGTCTTATACTTGCTTTAGGTTGCTGATAATTTGCTTCATGATGCCACCAGCAATCTAGAAACGTTAATATTTTGTTCTCAGACGCTTAGAAGTAAGGTAACGAAATGTAACTTTGCATCACTGCTCTGATGGCTCATGATTATTCAGCCAGTTGTGAAGTTTACAACTGTTTAATTTCACATGGCTGGGAGATGCTACCACTGTTGCAATATTTATAGCACCAAGATCTTGTGTGGCACTCTAGTGTTTATTTTATTATTAATAGCGGCTGATTTTGATTATTTCGGTATTTGATTTATAGGTACAACGGGATATTGAAGAGTTACCTTCTTCTGAAGCTGTTCGTGCGCTACAGGATTCCTTAAATGTGAGTGGTTGAAGATATGTACTTTCTCCCAAAGGCTTGGGTGTAAATTTTATTACAATATCTGATAGCATGTTTCGTATTTGATGAACCTTTGAAACTGAGCTATGATATTTTAATTCTAATTGTGAATTGCTGGTTTTCTGACTGAACATCTTATGATTTACATTGTCCTCATAGAGATTTTATCCCATAATAAGTTAACATGTGGCTCGATATTCTAATCTGTACTTGCATCTATGAAAAATGATTTTATGCTGCAGAGCTCCTGGTTCAATGGTATATATTATTATCGTCCTCATCATTATTTTTATATATATTATTTGCAAGTAGAAGGAAGGGAGGAGGATGAGAGGCTAAACAACCCCCCTCCTCCTAACCTTGGGCAAGCTTTTAAATCTGTAAGATCGATCAACTTAATATTTGCTTAATCTAAATACATATCTTTTAATAAGTGGATTCTTTGGAGTCTTTGAAGAATGATTATCCTATTACTCCATCTATCATTGTTTGTAAGATTTTCTTTGAGCTTCTTTCTAGTTTGAGAGGGTCCTGAACTCCGTACTATGTTCCTCCTGGATTTATTTTTTAGTTTAGAAATATTCTTGATGTGGTTTTTATGAACTAGATATACTTCATGAGTAATGGTACTATTTATACGTCCACTTACACATATGTTAACATGTACAAAATGCTTGAATTTCCCATATTGTATATGGAAGTTAATGGCATGGATGTTTTAAAATGCAGACCTTATTGAAAAAGTTCCATAAAGGCCCCCCTAAAGTCAGGACTCAGGTATTTTCTTGATAGTTCCTTTTCACACACTATGACCTTTTTTCAACGTAACTTATGAATACTAAGAGAATTATTGTGCTGAATTATTTGGCTTTCTAGATAAGCATTGCGGTAGCTGCCTTGGCTGTCCATGTTCCTGCAGAAGATTGGGGAGGTGGTGGTATCGTTAGTTGGCTTCAGGATGAGATGAATTCTCACCCTGAATACGTACCTGGATTTTTGGAGCTACTTACAGTATTGCCTGAGGTACTGCTTAAATCACATGTTGGAGATGGTTCTTTTTGCTGCATTTTGTTTGTTTGGTTGTTCCATTTGTATATATGTGCATTCGCTTAGGTTTTTAAGCAGACACAGTATGGGAGAACTGGCAAACTGGCAAACTGTGAAGGAAAAAGGAGAAAATGGTTTTTATGAGGGAAATATCTTGATTGAAACTTATAATTAGTCTAATAATTGAAAAACTATAACGATAGAAGGGCTGCATGATGCAAGAACTTGATATGCATTTTTTCTTTTGAACATAGTAGATGTACAGTCATATGGAGCCCTATAAGCAGCCCACAACAAAGAACTAGAACAAGAAAGAAAAACAGAACTCTTATTTCCAGCTTAAGGTAAAACAGATTAGCTATCTCTATGAATATAGGAAAAAAGAATTATCCTTGAAACTAAAGCCATAAAGAAGCTGAGGAGTGGACAATGTCAACCAGTTTCAGAATTCAACATTTCAGAATATTAATTTAGTTACATCATTGAGTTTTCCTTCAGTTCAATCCTTACTCATTTTGAATATCGGATTTTCTAACTGGTTGCCTGGGAATGTTAATCAGGGTGCACCTTTTGGTGTTAGAGGATACTTGTTCCCGCCTAAGACTGTTCTAGTGCTCTGAATCATGAGGGTTTTATTACTTTTAAAGCGGACGCAAAATGCTTTGCTTGTGTCCTTCACAAAAAATATAGAATTTTAGCTTGTTTGTTAGTGTTGGAGACATCTTCACTACCTCTTTGTCAATTATCTTTTTTTTTTTCTTTTTCTTTTTTTTCCTTTTTTCTGTTTGTTATTTCATCAGGAAGTATACAACTACAAGATAGCAGCTCGTCCAGAAAGACGTCGCCGGTTTGAAAAGGAGTTGACTTCTCAGATGGAGGTTGCTCTTAGCATATTGACAGCTTGTTTGCAGATTAATGAACTGAAGGAAAAGGTGGGACATTCTTCTTGCTGTTTCTCTCATAATGCCATATTTAACTGAGTATTGTATGGTTATTTTTAAGATTGCTTCCCTCATTAATTTACCCATTAAGAAGTGTGCTGGTGAAATCCTTTGATACATTTCTCTGTATTGATGGGGTAGGAAAGAGGAAGCTGTCAATTTCAAAATTTGAGTTCGCTGACAGTATACCTAAATGACTAATTTATGTATTTATTTATTTTTGTTGCTTGTATATACATAGTTTGAGTTGTTTATTAGGTTATGAAAAATATTTTTGATTTCGTCAATCATAGATGATATCAAAATGTAGGCCTTTGAGTTAAAACAAAGGACAGTCTCTTGCTAGTAGAATTATTTCTTGCCAATATATATTATTGAAATTAGTCCTGAATCGAATAGCAAACTGATTTGTGCAGAAAGTTTGTACCATAGAGACAATTATCAAGGTTTTTCTTTTTAGATCACAAAGTTTGGTACCTACAACTAGCATAGCGTTGATGGTTTTGGAAAATCATAAGTCTGATTTTTATTTATCTCCTTATTTGTATGTCATGTGCAAAAATGATGTGGAAAGTGTTGTTACCATTTTCTTCATTGTCCCATAGCATTGAAGTTGTTTTCAACTTTTCCGCTGCTAAGGTATTGCTTGTGATTCTGGCCTGTATTGCTTCCTTAATTGCCGAAGACTTTTGTGCTTTTGGAGGAGCAAGGAAGGTTGAAGTTTAATTGGAAATGTAGTGTACTGAGAATTTATTAGATTATTGGGTGGACAAGAATGAAAAAAGTTTTTGAAGATGCTCTTGAGAAAGAATGGGGCACTTTATGGGATAAGACCCATTTTATATCTTCATTATGGTCTTCGATTTGTAGTGGTTAATCCTTGCACGCATATAGACCCTCATACCTTGTGTACTTTTATTTAACTTTAGATTCTTCCTTTGTCATGTAGCATTTTGGATCCTTCTTTCATCAAAAGTTTAGACAAGTCTGCTTTTAAATGCATCATCAAGTGGCTTTCTGATCACTTCATCTTAATTGATTTGCCAGGTTCTCGAGGCATTTGCATCTTGGCTTTGATTAAAGCATAGGTGAGTATTTTGGAATGACATATTTTAGGTCATTCTTATGTAATATTTTTTAGTAGAACTAGAAACTGAGTCCTATGAATTTTGTTTGGTGATTTGCAAAACTTTCCAGTTAGTATGAAAGCTCCTGCCAGAATTTTGTTTCTATAACATGTTTGAACCTCATGGAAATCTTAGATTATAATAAGGCTTTTTCTTTTGTATGAAAAGGATGGGATTTTCTATAAAGTTGATATGTCATAAAGGGCAAGTAGTGGCCCTAAAGTGACTCCAGATCTGCATTATGGTTTTCATATTAATTTATTGACTTAGAGTCTGGTTTCATTTGTCTAATTTTTTCTTTTTCTTTTTATTATGATTATTTTGTGCAAGAAATCATGGCATAATTACACTTTATAAAAGAGTTAATTTCTTCAAGGGATTGCTTATCTAACCCAATTTTGTTGCTTTTTGCTAATTTGGTAAAACTTGTTGCTATTGATACCATAGATCTTGGTTGGTCCCTTGCTATAAATTTGTAGCTGACTTGTATGAACTTGCTAATCTGCCTTGCTTTAAAGGGAATAAATTATAGTTTATAATTCGTAGAACTTATCTTAACTTCTGCTAGTTTCAGGATTCATGGTTCTGTGCTTGCCTCTCATCCACTGGTGCTTACAGCTCTCTCAAGCTTGCATTCTGAGATACTTTCTGAGGCATCTGTAAATGGTATTGTCTTTGCAACATACTCATATTTCTTAAAACATATTGACTATTCTTCTGATTTTGTAAAATGTGTTTATGGCGTTATTTTGATTTTCTGCCAACTATTTATGCTGTGCATTATAAATGGATATTGAACTTATCCAGAAAAGAATAGTTAGAGATATTAATGGAGTTTACCTCTCAAGAATATTGGCATTTTGTCTTTTTCAAAATAATGAGGAGAATGTGGAAATCAATTGTTCAAGCCTGAAAATTAGCAATAGAATTTTCTGAAATGTTATGAAAGAGCAACACAGTATGAATTTTCTTTTTAATCTTTGCAGTCATCTCTGAACTGATACACTACTCAGCAGCTGGAAGTTCTGGTGGTGCTGCTGTAAACATGCCCTTAATTCAAGTAATTGTGCCTCAAATTATGAATTTAAAGGCACAGCTTACGGATTCATCAAAGGTATTGTGTCATTTAGTATTTCTGGGTCTCATGTGGATACCAGTGGCTGGCCCTGCATGAGTGATTGGAATTTGATGGTATTTTGTGTTTACTTTTATATTTACTTTCAGGATGAGGAAGATGTGAAGGCTATTGCTCGATTATTTGCTGACATGGGTGATTCATATGTTGAACTGATTGCAGCTGGTATACGTTATTTTCCTTTATTGAAACTCGTAATTTTGTGTGCTTTTTGCTTCATATGGTTCTTATTACTCCTGATTAATTCAAAACGCTGTGGATGAGTTGGTTGTTTTACTATGATTTATTCCTTTGTGGTTGATGTTTTTTTCCCACAGGTTCTGATGAATCAATGGTGATAGTGCATGCCCTGTTGGAAGTTGCTTCACACCCAGAATTTGATATTGCTTCAATGACTTTTAATTTTTGGCACAGTCTTCAGCTTATCTTGACAAAAAGGTGAATCATCTGCAGCTTACCAGAATAGATTGTTCGTCTTCAGTATGATGTTCTGGATATAATGATTCTGATGTACCAGGGATTCTCATATCTCATTTGGTAATGAAGCATCTGCTGAAGCCGAAAGAAATAGAAGGTTGCTGGTTTTTCGTTCAGCCTATGAGTCCCTTGTGTCCTTGGTGAGTCAGCCAGTTAACTTCATAACATCAACATTTTGTAGTTTCAGCTATTAATTTTCTTTAAATGGACCATGCCTCACGTATTTCAGTAATAATGGCACTACTCGCATTAGTTTAGGGGTTATTATCTTTAGAAAAAGGTTGTCCCCAGTGTGTTGTTTAGCTTGAGTAGAAGTAGATGAGTCACCTTGATTTCTGGCATTTGCATTATCAACCTCCACCAATTTTTTTCTGCCTAGAATTAATTGATATTTTTCTCCAAATGTATCTTAACTGATTAGAAGACGCAACTGTATGGAATTCTTATTAGCTAATGCTTCTAGAGTGCTATGGTTTTTCTTCACAGGTTAGCTTCCGAGTTCAATACCCTCGAGATTATCAAGACCTTTCATTAGAGGACCTCAAGGAGTTTAAACAGACTAGATATGGTAATAAAAAGATATTTGGTGTTTAAGATTATTTTTGCTTCTACTAGTACTTGCTAAAGGTTCATAGATCACATGGTGGTTGTTTCAAACAATGTTCTTTTGCTAAGCTCACAGAAACATAACAAGGCAATATTTTAGTATTGATTTTTATTTGTTACTGTGAGACCATATTTTAGTGGACAAAATAGTATCCTTGGGTTGCAATCGTTGATAGAATGGACAGATGTAATCCTTGAAAGGAACTTATGGGAGATGAGAGGTAGAAATAGCAACTATGGTTGGGAAAATGCTGACTGTGTGGTGATGCCTTCTAAAATTTGGACTTTGCTATTCAGTGAATGGCAATATAGTCAGATCTGTTAGCTTAGTGTATTGTTAACATGGTACTTTGTGTACTGGTGATCTGTTTCAATTTATATTGACTTTTGCATATAATTAATTACTTCTGATACCTTCCTCCTTTTCATCTATATGGTTCATGTTAAAGCTCATTTATTTAAGACTATAAGCGTAACAATTGAAAAATGAATGGCCCTCAGTTATCAGCATTGTTTTATTAGACACTTTGTTCATATTTTATGTTGTTTCAGTGACTAAAAAATAGGTACTTTGGCACGTTAATTTGAAATATGCTTCTGCTGTAAGGCAGAGTTTACATTTCTGGTCCTCTGAGTAATGCGTATTATAGGCTGCTCTTCAGAGGGGGATGCTATGAGAAACATCATGTGTTTAATTTTTTCCTATATTTATTGTGGGAATGTTCTATAGGCAGAGTTCGAAATTTTCTTGTCACTGTAACCTATATGTCTGTTCTTACACATATTTCTCATAGAAGTGAATCAAGAGCAATGAAGTAATTTGGTTTTATCATTCTCATTCAGTTTAGTCAACACAGTAATTTGTTTCTCCATGTCGCAGTGGTATTATTTATCTCATTGCTTATTCTATGTGATTTAGTCAAAGTTATCTTTTGAATGTGAAGGTTGTTACATCTGCCTCTTCTTTTATATTTTCATCTTGATGAGACCTGGCATCTAGCACTTCTTCAACGCTAACGGAATCTCTGATGTTGCTAGCTGTTGCGGATGTCCTAATCGATGCAGCATCAGTTTTAGGTGGTGATGCAACGTTGAAAATTCTTTACACGAAGCTTGTTGAGGTGCGTACCATTTGCTTTGTTGTGGGAGCAATAACCTGCATTGTCTGTGAAGTTGTTAGATCCATTTTTATGGTTTAATTTGTGAATCTCACAAGGCTTATAATATTGCTGGTATTCGAAAGATTGTGTGTGCTCTCTTCTTTCAATGAGTAAGCTTACATGCATTCATATATGCTCACACACAATTTGTATCTATGCGTGTCTGAGAATTGGGGCCAAAATAAAACTGTGTAAGAGTTGTTATTATTACACTGCCAATGAATTCTTAAAGATCATCCCAATTGTACATCAAATGCCTATATGACGCCAACCTCCACCCTTATTGGATTTCTATAACTATTTGACTCAAATGCATATTTTCTTATTTAATAAAAGTTCAAGACTTGGCTCATTCTTCTCTAGAATCGCATATTTATTTTTCGATTGTAAAGTTGTTTAGCATGAGGGTTAACTAAATTCATTTAAGGGCTCTAATGAATAATGTTGATGTGGTTAGTTTTACTCCAAAGTTTTGAGCCCTTTGATTATGTAGTGATGTTATTTTTCTTAAGAGTGAAGCAGAGTACTGATGCCCTATCAGTTCTTTCATCTAATTCTTCTCATGTCCTATATTTTCCCTTTTTTTTCTCTAAGATAACGCCTTCTCTTGGAGTATATTTCATCCATAGCTAAGTCAAATTAGCTTGGGAGCTAAACAAGCCATTTGTTAGGTCTGATAAGAGAAGGGTTTCACCAATGGCTGTTGTCACTGAAAATCATATGGACACTAACTTTAGCTGTTGATGTCAGCGGATCTAACACCATCATACAGAGAGTGCCAGCTGTTCTTTTACTGGTCTATTTTTGCTGCAAGCAGAGTTTTCTTAATAGGTTTTCAATTCATCAAGCACTGGGGTAGGAGTGGACCCATTGTGTATGTATATTCTAGTAACCTGGGGATTCTTACTGCTATTATTTGACCAGCCTAGTGACTTTTGGCTGAGTTTAAACTCAGGTTTTACAGTCTAATAGAGGATTGAATTATGTGATTTTGGGAATATTTGGTCATCAAGCCTCGCATATTTATGAATTTCTGTCGCTAAGAATTAGACCGAGCATGTGCATCTATCGTTGGCTTTTAACAAAGGTCTTTCTCTTGTGAATTAGCACATTTGCTATATTGATCATCCTTCATCTGCAAACAAATTCCACTGACTCTTAGTTATGGAGTAAAGTGATCAAGATTTTCGGCAACAATTAAAGGGTTAGTATTATGCACTTCAGGTTGGTGCTCAAACTTGAATGATTTATAATGATATATTTAGTTTCTTCTTTCAGTTCCCAATTAGTTCAAGTTAACAATCCGTTTTCATGTAACCTGATGACAACCTGTTTTTTAGATCTTGGTCCATCCTAACTTTCTGTTTTTTAGAGTTTGGTCCATACAAAATTTCTGCTGCATGACATGAACCTGTGACATGGTTCTAGTGACCAGTTTGATGTTATGTGTTATCTTAGTTGCGAAAAGTTATAGTTAAAATATAGTGTCTGTCTTGGCAATGATGTTGCATTTCAGATAAGTTTTTTAGGAGGGCGACAAGCTAATTAGATAGTGGCATCCTCTTTTGAACAGACTTGAAGAATTATGATAAAAATAAGCCCTGAGTGTATAATGGCTACTCCCGGGATGTGCTGCTAGAGCATAGTGAAAGTTAGACCTTATGGCATTCTAATTGATGTTATGACTTTATGCACAGGGTTTTCTTTAGATATGGCGACTGGAAAGGTTATTATTGTTGCATCCTAGGGACATCTGATATTTCTTATGATGATAGGAAGCAGAGGAGTTGAAGTATCAAAGTTATTTTGAAGAATGGACACAGGAGATTGATGACATGGAATACTGTTATAAAACTATAATCACTATTCAGTTTTCTGTCCATTAGTATAAACTATAAAGTGTCTTATTATAATTTTTCACAATTTTCCTCTTGGGTAACTTAGTGTCTACTTTAGACCGAGGTTTGGCTCAACGCTAAAACTTGTTGTGCTACATTATTAATCTATTCTTGAATAATATGTGAAGTAGGATATCATGTTGAATGGGATGAGCCATTAGAATGTAGAATTGGGTGCTGGGATCCCTTCGTAGGTAAATTGTGTAAGAAAATTATATCAAACAGTATACTAGAAAAATTGAATGACCAAGCTGTTTGTAGTACTTGGTACTCATGTCCCTTCATGCTTAAAAACTATTTTTCTGCTATCATTTGGCTTAGAGCATTGTTGCAGTAGATGAAATTTTGGCATAATCTCGTTGACTTTGACTCATTTTTTCGTGTAGCCAAAAGTTTTAAAGTCTTGTTGATGATTGCTTATGTTCTTATTTATAGAGTTCTTTACTTAATGGGTTGCTATGATGTCGTTATTTTGTCTACGGAATTGTCAGATACTTGGTGAGAACATGTTAAGCTTATTTACCAGATCATGACTGATGAGATCTACGTACTTTTTTGCTATTCTTGGCAGTTATTTATTTTATTATGTTTGGGTTATTGATGCAACAACCTCTTCTGTGGCTCAAATGCTTTTCTTTTGTATTATCCAAGGGTGTGGCTTGTTGTGGAAATGAACATAGTGAGTGGCGTCCAGCAGAGGCTGCTTTATTTTGCATCCGGGCTATATCCAATTATGTTTCAGTCATTGAAGCTGAAGTGATGCCCCAGGTTTGAATGTTCTTCAATTTCTCTCATATTTTCATGGTATTATATATATAGATATTTTAATTGTATGCTTTTGCTTGGCTGCTTGGTGAGTGTTCCTATGTTTGATACCTCAATTTGCTTTTGAAAGTTAACTTGGCTCCTTATTCGGTTTGTGTAATTGAGTGTTTTGCATTTTATAGATTCTTTAATTGCCATGGGTAAATCTTTTTCTCTTTGTTTTTGTCCATTCACATGAATTTCAATGTTGTTCTATTTGTTATACAGGTTATGACTTTGCTTCCAAAACTTCCTCAACAACCCCAACTGCTTCAGACTGGTATTGTGTGAATGAGATTTTTTTTATTTTATTTTGGAAAACAGAACATTTTTTTTTTCTGTGTCAGCAGTCTTATGTTTTTCCAAATTGGTGGCTTGACAATTAGAAGCAACCTTTATGGTAGAGTGTTTATCCTTCATTATAAATTTGTTATCTGCTTACCTAATGAATTGCAGTTTGCTTAACCGTTGGAGCATATTCAAAATGGCTTGATGCTGCATCAAGCGATCCATCTATATTGGCTTCAGTCCTTGGTATGCTCACAAGTGGCATGGGTGTATCAGAAGATTCAGCTGCGGCTGCAGCTTTGGCATTTAGACACATCTGTGATGGTATAGGATCTCTTTTATTGAGTAATTATTTGTTGTGTGATTCTAAGACCGGGAGAAAAGAAAGAGAGAGGGGGGAGGGGGGAAGGTTTTGTTTTTACAATATCTTGGTCCCCATTGGTTGCTTACAGGGAATGAATGAATTATATGTGCTTGTAACAACAAAAAATGGGCTCTGTTTGGTTCACAATTTTGTGTTTTTGGGAAAAGTTTTTTGAAAAAAGTTAAAAAAAAGTTAAATTTGGCGGGTATTACGATGTAAAATTTACAAATTAATAAAATATCCCTTATGTTTGTTTTTTTACAAAACACCCCCTATAATAAAACATTAAAAGTTAATAAAAACACCCCCAACCCACCCTTAAATACGGACAGCTGGCTACCACCGCCGGAGGGTGGCCGGAGTCGCCATAACAAAAACATTAAAAATATTTAGGGGTATTTAATTAAATTAATAAATTTAAGGGGTTTAAAAAAAGTTGAATAAAGTTGAATAATATTGTGAGTTTTTGGATATTTTACTGTTTAACTTTTTTGGGAATACTAAAAATAGTATTCCCAAAATCCAACCAAACGAAGCCTAATCAACCTATATGTTCTCTTTATTATGTAAAATTTTTGTTTATGTCCCTAAATGGAATTGAGCTTTTGATCTTTAGGCTTCAGTGTCTTATTAGGAAATTGATGGCTTTGACATGAAGTGACTTCTAAAGGGCTGACAAATAAACAGAGTTTGGGTTCATAAAGGACAATGTTTTCAATTACATCCTGGAAGTTTTAAGGTTCCTGTTGGGTTTTGGGTTGGTATGTGTTGGGGTGAGGATTGGAGTAGCTCATTTAGGTTTTATCTCATGGTCAGGATACTTTTTTATTCTGCCTTGGAAATCTTAAATAGTTGTAATATGTCCTCTATGATCCTTATGTTTGCTGTCCTTGTGCCTGAATGTTTAATTTCAATGCTACTATTGATGTGTGTTCGTTTGGTTTTGATGTAGATTTAGTTTATCATTGATTGTTTCTTTGTTTACTTATTCACATGTCCATGGAAGTATGAGTCTGTTTTTAATTGGTTTTTAGTGTGATAGTAATGATTTATATACAATTGTAGATTGCCGGAAAAAGCTTTGTGGATACTTGGATGGTCTCTATAATGTGTATCGAACAGCAGTTAATGGGGAAGGTTGTTTAAAAGTTTCTGCTGAGGACTCATTGCATTTGGTTGAAGCCTTGAGGTATCTATTGCTCAACGACTTCAAAAGCGAAATACTAGATAATTTGAGTTCTGCATAAATAACTTGATTAATTTCTTCTAAATCTATTTTTGCAGCATGGTTATTACAGAACTTCCCCAAGATGATGCTAAGAAGGCTCTGGAGATGTTGTGCTTGCCAGTGGTTACTCCCTTACAGGTTAGTTCTGCTTCTACTGGATTCATTGAGTTTTATCTGCTAGTGGACAATATTATTAATTATATGATTTGACAATCAGGAAGTTATCAATCAAGGACCAGAAGTATTGCATAAGAAACATCCTCGTGACTTAACTGTTCATATTGATCGATTTGCCTACATCTTCAGGTGTAGTCACTGTCCTTTCAGTTCTGTCTTTTACTGATTTTATTCTATAGAATTATTCTCAATGTGCTATTATCCCCAATTTTAGGCATGTAAATCATCCTGAAGCTGTGGCAGATGCAATACAAAGGCTTTGGCCCATATTCAAAGCTATATTTGATATGTGAGCATTTGTAACCTACCAATTTTGGAATTTTCATGTAAATGTACCTTCACTGCATCACATTTCATTCTTGTCTAATATCTGTTGAGCATGTTTCTGGTGCAGTCGTGCTTGGGATATGCGTACGATGGAGTCTCTTTGTCGAGCTTGCAAATATGCTGTGAGTTCAATCAAACATTATAGAAATCTAGTAGTCAAAATGTTGCTTTCTGGTATATTGACTTGGTGGATTTACAGCTTTATATTAGAAATCTAATAATTAAATTAAACTTGAGCTCTATACTGATGCTATTTATCTGTGTTGAGATAAGAATCCAATGAAGGGCTGTCTTGTTTTTCTGTTGAAGCTTATCTTTCTCTCTCCATCAGGTGAGAACTTCCAAAAGGTATATGGGAATCACAATCGGAGCCATTCTAGAGGAGATTCAAGGTTTATATCAACAACACCAACAGCCATGTTTCCTTTATCTCTCTAGTGAAGTAATAAAGGTATGTATGGCTTGATACAAGCATCGACATTCTATTTACGTTTTTTACTATCATCATAAACTTGAGCAGTCAGCATGTTTTGCTTCACAGATATTTGGTTCTGACCCATCTTGTGCTAGCTACTTACAAAATTTGATTGAAGCTCTTTTCAAGCGCACGACATGTCTTCTCACAAGTATTGACGTATGATTTCAATGAGCTCTATATTGTCTTCTTCTTTTTAGGGTTTCCTGATATTTATGTTGCTTGATCCCCTATTTTGCAGGAGTTTACTTCAAGGCCTGACGTTGCAGATGATTGTTTTTTGTTGGCATCGAGGTGCATTCGCTATTGTTCTCAGCTATTTATCCCCTCTCCTGTATTTCCATCATTAGTAGATTGTGCTATGATGGGAATTACAGTACAGCACAGGTCTAGCTTCTCTTTTCTACTCTGTGTGTATGTTATATCTTTTTAAGCACTATGGTTTTTCTTGAGTGCTTAGATATGATTGTTTAAATTGGTCTATGCAAATATGATAAGAAGCTATGTTATATAAAGGGACAAGTGGAAAAGTAACACAAATGACCATTTAATTAATACAGTTATCCCTGGTATAGTCCACCACCGATTAAGCTAGTTTCCTTTTGGATCATACATCAAAGGAGACCTTGAGTTGGGCTTATCTTCCTCGAAGTTTTAAATACAGAACATCCTTCCGGACTAAGAAATAAGTTGTGTAACAGAATATCAAAAACTAAAAACAGTACTGTACTGTCACATCGTGCAGGCATTCTAGTAAACCCAAATTTCAGTATAAACTAATATCTGTGATCTGTAGGTGCTATCATGTTAAAAGTGTCCAACGCCAAAACTTTTTAGAAAATTATCTTACCACAAAGTGGTATAGCTTAGACACCAAGACACATGCATACAAACATATGCAAATGTAGCCCAAAAAAACCTTATGCATATGTACCCATCTACACTGTATGTTATCGTATCTGCATTAGATTTTTTGATATAAAAAATGGTGGAGATACACGATTTACATTTGTCTGTTGATACAAGGTTCAAGTTTACACTGCATTCATGTCTTTCAGGCCAGAGACCTTATGAAGGGTTTTCCTTGCATTGTTTTCTAATCTTTTTGTGTTTTCGCATTCGTAAATTTTTTGATTCCTATCCCTACAGACAGTTTTCTTTATTGTGTAATGGTTATTCATGAACACACTTTCTGAATCTATATGTTGGCATTTGTTCATGGTTAATTTACCCTGTTTCATTTTTTAATGTTTTATTTTTTTGGTTTGCAGGGAGGCCTCCAATTCCATATTGACCTTCCTATCTGATATCTTTGATCTTGTGAAGTCTTGTAAGGGAGAAGAATATTTATCTTTGAGGGATAGTGTCATTATTCCTCGAGGTGCCAGCATTACCAGAATATTGATTGCCTCATTGACAGGAGCCCTCCCAAGTTCTCGGCTAGAGACGGTAGGTCCAAGTTTTCAATAAAATTTTAACATGTTATGGAAAATATAGTGAATTAGAATCATGTCTTTTTACCTATATTTTGTTGATTCGAGTGTTATGGAACCTTCTTTTACTCTAGGTAACTTATGCACTACTGGCCTTAACTCGAGCATATCGTGTCCAAGCATTGGAGTGGGCCAAAGAGAGTGTTTCGTTGATCCCATTGACAGCTGTTGCAGAGGTGGAACGGACAAGATTTTTGCAAGCATTATCAGATGCAGCATCGGGAGCTGATGTCAATGCCCTGATGGGTCCAATTGAAGAGCTGTCTGATGTTTGCCGTCGTAATCGAACAGTTCAAGAGATTGTTAAAGGAGCTTTGAAGCCACATGAATTAAATATGGTGCCTGTATCATAGTGGAAAGTAAAAAAAAAGGGGCTGTTTTGCTGAGGTCCCGATTGTCGGTTATATGAATTACTTGATTGTGTATTAGTTATATTTTTTTCATCATTGTGTATCCATTATCATTCTCCAATTTTTTCTGAGGAGAATCTGGCGTTTATATTGGGTGGGCGAGAATAGGTTGCCATTGTATCTTCATTGACTGAGTGGTTCCAATTGTTTTGGCTTCAATTTTTTTTTAGGGTAAAGTTTCGGGTATAGATTTGTAATTTTCGTTGGTAATGGAAAAGGTATTTTTTCTTTCATCATAAATATTTTGATTCTTTACTCTCTGTATATCTTGAACAATGTTCTTACCTAAAGAAAATCTGAACTTGCAAACGGTTGGAAGTAATTCGCTTTGTCTTCATTGATTGGTTAATGGCCAGACGTGAATGATAATTGATAAGAAACCTGGTTTTGCTGTAGAGGACGTAGATATCTGTCACAGGTGTCAGAATATCCCTTATTAACAGCGTAAATTACTTGAAACCCCAGGAGTTTCAGCACTCTCCACTCTTCATCCTCTGACCGCCTTTCACAATCCAAAGAATAGATACTATGCTGGAAAATGTTGAAGTTCCCATCTAATTCAATTCTATTGATGATAACCACGAAACATACTACTGTATGTAATTCAGACCAAACAAGGATTCAATTCAACTGGGCAACAACACATTAATTTGAAGAAAGACTATAATTCCGGATTAACGTACACCGTCAACAGAAAATAAAGTCATTCTCATTTCCATTGTTTGAAATAACATAAAAGAATTCAATACACAAAAATGTGCATACACCCAAATGCATTAAGTCAACATGAAACTAAATACTGATTTGATTGAATTTTCGAACACACCAACCATCTACAGCGTCACAAACAAAGCTGCAATAATATTGTGAACATAATTACACTCCACACTACAAATACTAAATTTAAAAATTAAAAACAGAACACACCCCTCACCTGATAAACTAAAGAATGGAGAAAACCCATTTGTCATAGAAACATACTGCGAACGCAACGCAATTCATGACATGAGAACTCTAAATGGAGTTCATACAATCTTGGAGTTAGCCTCGTCAAGATAAGAATGGGTATTGATTGCTATTGTGTATGGGCATTTTACTGACTAGAAATTTCATTCTGGTGGTGCTCCTGCTCTGCCACCATTTTGCTTCTTTTCCTGGAGAGTTGCTCTATCAAACATGTCTTTGGCATCATCCTCCATGTTCATTTTGGTTAAGGGCGACTGACTGCAAGTATAGGGCTATGGGCCAATCTGCATGACGACGTTGTGCTTGCATTGCATCACCAAGGGCATTTTCTAGCTGATTGCAAACGAGAAAGCTTATACTACGCCTTGCATAAACAGTTGGGAGTCTGTTATCATTGTTTATAAGCAGCCAAAGAGACAAAGAAAGAGGAACTATAATTCTCTATTGTGGCATGCAAAACCTTGCCAAAAATAAAATAAAAAAAAAAAAAAAAAAAAAAAAAAAAGGCCTACAACAATTTCTATTTGAAAAATGTTATCTTTACAAAGACCCATACAAAGAGGGCTACAAAATGACATCAGCAAGAAGAAAAAAACAAAGAAAAAATGAAAAAAGAGGAAGAGAGAGAGAGAGAGATCATGAAAATCAAGGGTGGAGATTGTCTTTGTATGCCCCCTTTATATGTGTCTTTGTAAAACTAACATTGCTCTATTTATATATATAAGTATTGAAAAACACTAGTTTTGGAACAATTATGAATTGAGAAATTTAAGTAAAAATTAATTAATTAAAAGGGTAATGTTGTAATTTTAAAAATCAGTAAATTAATTTTTTAGTGAAGTTGTAAATTAATTATCTAAAATCAGTAGAATCATTGTCCTATTGGTATTGGAAAATTATTAATTTAACTCTTATTCAAATTTTTATTCCTACTCGTAAAGGTATACCACAAACTTGTTACATAAATAGGAGTATACTTCTTTGACACAAGAAACCATAATTCCCTATATCAATTTAAATCCTTGCCAAAAATAAATATAAAAAGACCCAAAGTAATTTCTAATTCTTATATATATAGTACTATTGAGAAACACTAGTTTTAAAACAACTATTAATTGAGAAATTTAATTGAAATGTCTTGAAACTTTCTTTAAAAAAAGAAAAATACAAAATTAAAATGGTAATTTTAGAATTAATGTAAATATTATTTAGAGACAGGGGCTAATCATTTAATTGATGGGATGCGTATATAGCATCACTCATTAATAAATTATTCTTATTAAAATTCTTAAAAATCAATAAATTAATTCTTATTCAAATTCCTACTCCTACTCTAATCAGTAGAATCAGTATCCTGGAAATTAATAATTAACTCTTATTCAAATTCTATTCCTACCGTAAAGGCAAAATTCACAAACTTATTTTATAATATTATATATATATATATATTATATATATATATATATTATATATATATATATATATATATATATATATACGAGTATACTTCTTTGACACAAGAAACCATAATTCCCTCCCTAATTTAATTTCTTGTAATTTTCCGTTCAATTCCATGGCAAACCTTTTGAAGAAGACGTTAACTCTGTTATAGAGCAAATTTGAAAAGAAGAGGAGAACCACCATAGGGATATGAGGAGGAGAAGAGGATTTGGGAGTCACTTACAGAAGATATATTAGGTGAAATTATCTGCAAATTAGTTTACATGATGCCTCTTAGTATGAGTGTTTGCATGTCCAGGAGATCAGCACTGCAAAACGACGTCCAAAACATCGTCATCTTCCCGTGGATGATGTTACCTTATGAAAGGAAACCATTGTGTGAGATTCTTTGATTTGTGTGAGGCTTTCTTTATAAATTCAACCACCCCCAAGAAATTAGGAAAGTCAATTGGTTTTCTGGATCTTCCAAAGGTTGGCTTGTAATTGCCAATGGCCCTCAACGCAATCCCCGAATTTTTCTCTTCAATCCAATCTCAGGTATCCATTTTCACCTACCTCCTCTCACACAATCCCATCTTTTCAAACTTACCTTACTTCCAATTTGAATTGAAAGTTTCACCAGATATGATCACTTTTTTACTAAAATAGAATTATCATCGATAGATTCTGCAAACGTTGCAGTTGCAGGAATTATTTTTCCATATGATAGTTGTGTTAGGGCCAAAAATCGTCCTCGGCCCAAATAGGGAAACAAGACACTGGTGAAGAATGACCAGGTCCAATCTTGCAGAGGCCCAATTAGGATTAGCCCTATCTCTCACGAAGCATAACCGGCCTGAACCACATGGGCACGAGCCTTTTAGGCTCTGTCCAGTATCTAGGCCTATGGGTGAGCCAGAGCCCATAGCCTCTTCAACATTTTCCCATTCCTGATCAATCCCCTATTCAGTCGTCTTCCTCTTTCCTGGCGACTTTCCTACTGGGGTCATTCTCCTAAATGGAATTAACTTCCTATTTAGACACTGATAAGACGTTGATTACGGCCCTGATTCTCTAGGGTTGGCATCACAGTCACACTAGGACTCCTGCTCCCACCAGGATTGGAAGACCAGGCGACCCTATATAAGCAGAGGCCAGCCCTCTCACAAAGGACATCGACATTACACCTTCACCCAAGGCTCTTCACTTGAGTCTCGCTTATTCGCTGTAGTCCCAGTCCCCGACTGGACTTCCGGTAATCTCTTTCACCCTAGCCCTCACTATATTAGCCTCTCAGTCTTGCTGACTTGACGTCGGAGTTCTACGGCAAACACCACCCTGGTGTTTTCCGTTCGCTTCACGCGTGTGTTTCTCTACGTGTGCAGGTACAGCATCGCTAGTGGCCTCAATTTCGCGGGATCAGCCCCCCTTTCCGTACAGGTAGATTTTACGTCTACAGTTTGGCGCCCACCGTGGGGCCTCTAGCAATCATTCGGCGTGACGAACCTTGCTACATGGAGGAATTCCCATGGCTGACAATCCAGACGACATCAACTCAGGCCTCGAGGCCAGACTAGAGGCTTTGACTGCTCTCATGCACACGAACTTAGACAAGTGGCCCGCACTGGAAGCCGAAAACACATCCATCAGGGTCGAGAACCAATCGCTAAAAGAGAAGTAAGTCGATTCTATGAACTCAGTTTCTGCCCGACCAAGCACCCCCCATCGGTTCCGCACCATTATCCCATCCATGCAAGCCCTCTCCACACTAGAGCATCAACCCTCGATTCTGGTAAAGGGCCGCGTCCGCTTAACGCATTGGCGCTCTGACTACTCCGTTCTGACTAACGAGATAAAGATACAACAGGGCGCGTCCAGTCGACCCATCCCAGCCTCGTGATTAAAACGATCCACACAGAAAACCCGAAGGATCAACCCATCTCCACCATACCACTTCCCCTCCAGTCAACCCAACACAAACCCCCTCCTGCCTGGGTCACCCTCGCGGGGTGAACGGCCAAACCAAACCAACTCCAGCTCTTGAGCCCATCCATCCCGAAAGACCAACAACTACCAGATAACCCCCCTGACCTTTCATGTAGGAAACAACAGAACAGTGACAATGGGAGTCATCCAACAAGAAGGGATGAACGAAGACCATGCTACCAAGAAAGGCACGACGGACTAATCTATCATCTACCCCCCGAGGGATGACCCACGAGACGTACCAGCCCGGTAGACGGGATGACCCGATAGTATCCCCTTCCCCTGTGGAACATTACTGGCCAAGAGACTGGCCGACGTTGAGCGGCAATGAGGCGTATCCCAGGAATGCCAATCCCAACCAAAGATCAGACCGAATTGTTACGCAGATTCACCTTTTGCGGACGAGATCGCCCTGGCTGACATGCCCCAGAAATTCACTACCCAAACATGAAACCATATGACGGTACCACTGACCCGACGACCACATAGCCTCGTACAAGCAGCGGATGTTCACTGTTTCCATACCTCGACCGCTTAGAGAAGCCTGCATGTGCAAAAGTTTCGGTTCTAGTTTGTCCGGCCTGGCGCTGCAATGGTACATAACCTCCAACGGATCATCGATTCATTCGCTCAGCTTACTGACACCTTTGTGGAACAGTTCGCCAGCAGCAAGAAGCTAGAGAGTTGTCGGCCGACTTGTACCGAGTATACCAACGAAGGGGGGACCATTGAGAGTATGTTAGCAGATTCAACAAAGAGAAGATCTCTATTCATTCCTGTAACCCCGAGACTGCTGTGGACGCTTTCAGGAAAGGCCTCCTCCCAGATGGAGAACATAACA